GGGTACAAAAGACCCCGTTTGTGACTGTACACTAAAGGTTCCCCTCTCCAAAAACCAAGGAGAAGCAAGGTGGGGTGGGAGGAGGCTATGATATGGAGGGAATGCTGGCATTGGGGGTCAGATGGCGGCCTTGATGACCAGCAGACCTGCCTGGGCATGCTGATGGGCTTAGGGTGTACGGCTTTCCTCCTGATTCTTGCATTCCCTCAGTGAAGAAGGCAGCAGTCAAACAGGACCCTGACCTGGGACTCCTCTTGACAGCATATCATTCGATCAGATGCAAATATTTTTTGCTCCTCCGTGCATGTTATGAATCTTCTAATACTAGAAGTCTTCTCTTCTGGAGCCAAAATAGCATTTCCTAGCACTCCCCAAGGCCACCTACAGAAAAAGAGTCTTCCACATAAATCTTAGCAGGCAAGAAACTCCTTTGCACCTTCTCAGTTTCTAGCTCAGGAGGAGATCGCTGCCCTCGTTGCACACTGGTGTTACCTGGGAAGCTTTCTTAATGCCAATGCCTGTACGTCATTCTGAGATTATGGCTCTGTTGATTTAGGGTGGACCTGAGTCTTTTCTGGTTTTGCTGTTGTTGGTTTGCTTGTTTTTAGGCTCCTCGGGTTGAATCAGAACTACAGCGCACTGCCACATACGAACTTATTTTAAGTTTCCATTCCATAGTGAAAGGAGGAGGTTAAACTACAAGCGAGTGAACACAAGAGCAAAGAGAGAAGGCAGTGGAATCCCATCTTTGAACATCCTCATCCCTTTGCCATTCCAACATGGAGGCATCTCACGTCGGTAGTCCTTCCTTTTTTGTGAAGGAAAAACAGGGTTGTTCTGATATACCCACTGCAGAATATGACTTATATCCTCTTAGCTCATACCACCTAAAGATTTGTAAAATATGACAGTAGACTGATAGGATTAAAAGGTAAGAACTCTTGGTGGCACCCCAGGTGCTGTTTTATATGGAAGCTAGATGAACTACCTAGCAATTATCTCCCAGAGCCTAAACAATGAGAAGGATGACGGCATTTGTCATTCACTTGCTTTGTACACATTGTAAGATCCCCAAATCCTTGCTAAAAGGACTCGAAACTATTCATTCTGGAAGCACAAGGAAGACACTGCTTTCTTATTCAGCAACAATCATATTTCTTTGTGATAGGCCTTTTTAAGCTTGGGAGAATTTTACATTTTGAATGAATGTCTTCATTTCTGACGATGTGCATGTTCTGTAGCAATTAGTTTAGGATACTAAAGCCACACCCAAGCATGCCAGACTAGTTCATTGGTATTTTCATTCCCTGTCAACTCTAGAAACTCACTTTGGTGACGAATGGCGTATTTTCAAAATAGTGTCCATAAAGCAGGTGGCTATGCTTTGGCTTTCCTAAGGAAATAATTAACATGCAGATGGCAGTTGAAGGAACCCAACTGTATATAGAAATGTATTCCAGAATGTTCTTGTATTTTCTGTAAGATAAAGTTACACATGTGATAAACGGTGACCTAGGAGAACGGAAATGGGACAGGAAATAAAGAGAGCACATCTTTCTGTGTACTTCAAAGCTCTTTCTTGGTTGCTCAAAATTACTAACATATATTAGTAAACAAGTCTTGAAACACACACTCATCATTTAGCTATTTAACAAACAAAAATATCATCTTTCAGTGTGTCCAATGCTTAGCATACAAAGATGAACACATAGAACCTGCATACAGGTGTGCATAATCTATAGAAGGAAATACACATGAAAGTCAGCTATTAAAATACAGTATGATAAGGTTATGATAGTTTGTGAAATTCATTATTGTGAAATTATCATTTAGGATACTGTGTATTAATGACATCAGAGAAAGCTCTCACTGCCAGACTTGGAGGAAAAATACTTATAAGACTCAGTAACAGGAATACTATGTCCTCTGAATGTCTTGAGTTTCACTTAAATACTTTGAAGAAAATAACCAGTTTCTCTGTCCCATTGAATTAGTGGCTTGAAAGCTCAAAGCTAATTCATAACAACGCTAGCAACCAAATAGGGTCCTATATGATCAGTTCTGTCTGTTGATCTACCCAGATTCAACTCCTGTCACCCAGATTTTGTTTACTTTCTGTTGTTTTTGTTCCTTAAAAGTACTGCAAATCCTCCCAGTGATGAGACAGGTTATAAGAAAATAAATAAATAAATAAACTGTGACAAGAGACGTCTGTTCAAGATCTTATGAGAGCCAAGGGAAAGAGTGTGACACAGGCTGGCCGTGTTGCTAGGGGAGGCTAGGGAAGGAGCTCTAGCACAGATGGGAAAAGCATCATCATAATGACCCTGTCAGCAGCCCTCATTAATAACAGTAAAAAAGAAGAGCTAGACCTTGAAGAATAAACAATCACTGGACCTTACAATTGCAGGGTCTTCCCTATGTATCTGTGCTTTGCAAACATTTTTTCTCTGGTCCTCACAGCAATCCCAATAAGCAGATACTAATATCCCCATGTACCACACGAGAATATCGATGCTTATGGAGATGAGTAATTTGTCCAGGATGCCACCTCCCACCCAGGTAGTCTTGCTTCAAGGGCTGCAGTATTGCAGGCTGAAATTCTCGTGGAAGGATAAGGGGATTGACACAGTGTTGTCAGCGAGAGTCGCTCCAAGTGTGTCCGAGAGGGGCGTGTGGTGCTGCAGCTGAAGGGGAAGCTACAGAGATAAGGAAGGGCAAAGTCAGGAATAATGTTTCTTTAGGGAATAGGAAGATTTCAAAGGGTTTTAATAAGAGGGTTACACGAAAGCGGAGAAAAGGCAAGAGAGGCCTCAAACTCTGATCCTTCTGAAATCCGGTGGGGCTGTCAGAGTCTCCCAGGCGAAGAAATTTTGTAAGATCCCATGCCGTCGTTCACTACATGCTACAGATCACACGGACTCCTTGGTGCATAAGAGCATGACAGTAGTATTTACTTCCAATGGGAAATAATTTTACATAAGACAGATTTACTTTGAAGTCCATCCTGGGGACCGCCATTACCAAAGGAGGTTGTCGTAAAGCACCCTCTTCCTACACGGCACCAGAAGCAATGTTAGAGAACAGCCTGGTGCTCTTCAACCCCCCTCCTCCCCCACCCCCAGCCCAAAGCCTCTCCTGTGGACTCAAAATGCTGACAGTGATTGTGGTGAGAACGTGGTGATACTGGTGGCAGGTGGCTGCTTCTAGTTCCCGAACTGTCTCTGTTTGCTCCCCTGTGCCAGCATGCACTGCTTCCTCGAACCCTCACGACCTCCCCCGGAGGAAGGCGGTCGTATGTCCATATGACAGATGAAGGTTTAATCACACAGCTAAGCAAGTTGTAGAGGTACATTTTGAATCCAGGGCCAGTAGACTCCGGAGCCTGTGTGGCAGGCGGCTTACCCTACCCTGCCTCCCACGAGGAAGAGATTATAAATGCAGCAGTCATCTTATCCTGTTTCTGAAGACTGCTTTTCTGTCTCGCTAGGAATTATCTGATTTATTATAATAGAAAATTGGTTGTTGAGACTTCGCTTCTTTTGCCTCCTTTTCTTTCTGATATGTACTTTTAGAAGACATAATGAGAAGATTGTGTGTGTGTGTGTGTGTGTGTATGTGTGCATGCCCATTAAATATGTGTGCAAATGGGGTGCTTGGGTGCCTCAGTTAGTTAAGCATCTGCCATCAGCTTATGTGATGATCTCAGGGACCTGGAATCAAGCCTGGCGTCAGGCTCCCCACTCAGCAGGGAGTCTGCTCGGCCTCTCCCTCTGGCCCTCCCCTTCCTGCTGGTTCTCTCTCTCACTCTTCCTTTCTCTCTCAAATAAAATCTTAAAAAAATAAAAATAAAAAGTGCACTTGCCAGTGAGAACTCGTACATCAAAAAGAGAAGGTGTGTGGATAAGAATTGCCTTTGGTCAGATCTCAGCCTGGCCACTTAACTGGGCATGAGATTTAGACCTCCAGTGTGTCAGGCTCATTGCCTTTAAAATAGCAATGTTTCCAGCTGAAGACTGTTGTTTAACTACATTGAGAAAATATATCTGCAGTACTTAGCACAGAGTTAAGTACCCAGAATTGTTCATTCGTCTTCTAACTCCTCTTTGGTTGTCAGGCTTTCCTACCATAATTCTATTTCTGTTTGTACAAAGAGCAAAAACCAATGTATATGTCAGCCCTCCCACGGGGGCATTTATATCCTAGAGAAAGAGCTATGTGTCACTGCCTCTAGGCAGCGTTTTTTTAGTTCCTACCCTCTCCAAAGACAAGGCGCTCTAAATTTCATACAAGAATTCATTAGGCTATAAGGAGGCTATAAGGGATCCTTATACTATCAGCCCTCGGGTTAGCTGATCCACAGCTGCTTCAGTACACTTGGAGTCTGCTGTCTACGAGTTTATCATCTCGTTATGCCAACTGTGAATACTTTCCTTTTGACCGACACGAGCATCAACCCCTGCCCCGCCAACAGGTATCCTATGACTTGTGCAGATATCCTTGGGAATCTGTCCTTCTCTATCCCAGCCCTTCAATCCAGGTCTGTCTGACTCTAAAAAGTGTGAATGCTGGTTTCTAGTCATCAGTGGATTTAACTTATCTTGTTAGATATGGGGACTTTGCAAAGCTTAGAAGATCCTCTTTGCGACACCATTCGGTATAAATTTCATTTGCTGACCATTTATTTTAATGCATCGAACTTATCCTCAAACTAACACAGGAGACCAGAAAGCAAGTGCACATTCTAGTTCTTTTGGCGGAGTCATGCATAATTTAAATACAATAACATATGATGGAGGCATTGAGAACTCTGCTCCTGTCACAGAAATGTGTGTTGTACGCAGGCCAGCCCCAGCAGAGGCCTGACCTCATGGCCCGGTGGGGCACTTGACAGATCACACAAGGTGTCCCCTAACCGCCTGCTCTCTGTAGGGCTCTACATATGTTCTCTTAAATGACATTGCCCCACTGTTAGCCTAATTTGAAATTTTATTCCTCAGCCACATAAATAGAAGAACACAGTTTGAAAACCCCGTCCTGGAAGCAAAAAGGAAGCTACAGCAACATAACATGCCCCACACGGAACTTGGAACAAAGCCCCTTCAGGCGCCGGCTTTCCGAGGTGAGTACCAGGTCCACCTGCCATGTTTCAAAGAGAAAAATGATCTACCAAACTGCTTGCTCTTCCAGATCTGCCTTTAGCTGGGACCACTTCAGAAGATGATTTGCTTTCCCCAAACCCCTCTCCTAGCTTTAGCTGGATGGTTGCGGGGCTCCGTGGCTTCCTTACAGCCTCCCGGCCGTACCTTAGAGGAATGTGCAGCACCGGGCCGGGAGGAGACTCCTGGGTTTTGACAGTGGGACGGGAAAGTGGACCGTAAAGTGCAGATTCATAGAGACCCCTAGGCTTGTCCTCAAAAGACCACGCACAAGAATAAGGATTGTTCTCCTTTGTGACAGTAGACGGTTCCTGGTGGACATTACCTAAGCCCACATCCACCCGCCCTCACGCGGTCCCCGAGAGGTCGCACAGCGTGAATGACTTGTCTTACTATTTGCACGACTGCGCCAGGAGGCCCTGGCCCTTCGGTATGTCCATCTGTCTGTCGGGGGCTTCCTGTTGCCCTTGACCACACCTTCGAACCACATAGTGGGATGAGTTGCTGCACAAACTTTTCACGTCTGGGGGGGTCTTACTCATAAATGAGAGCACGAATACCGCACCCCCACAGCATAAATGCCATGAATGTAAAGGTCTCACGGTAACTTGGCTCCACTCCTAAAATGTTATGTTCATCAAAGAAACGTAGATGGCAAGATCAAAATGCATTTTTCATTTACATTTTAATGGAAAAAACATAAACTTAAATATAAAATAGAGAATAATTATATATATATGTGCAGACCTATTATATATTATATATATATTATGTATATTTTAGTGCAGACCTATGGGACATGTGCATGCATGAAATAAAATTCCAGTATGATGATTCATTATATCTATTACATATCAACCAAAATATAACAGCAGCCAAAGCACTAAAATACTTAGCTAAGTACCTATCGTTTGGCGTTACAAACATCAAATCATATCACTGAAAATGTAATAACTGTATGCATGTAGGCACATGTGTATACTTTGTATGTGTGTGTGTGTGTATACACACTTGACTGAGATAACATTTAAAGCAGATATTAATTCTATTTCCTACCATGACTTTATTTTTAAAGCGTGTAATATGCTTAGGAATATGTTTATTACAGATCATAGCTGGGAAATCGTATCATGTAACAAATTGGTGCTCAAACCCAAATGATTGGGTTCTCGTTATGGTCAGAGTGTTTAGGCATATGATTTGAGTGTATCAACATATTGTTACAAAATGTGTTACCTTTACATTCATAATGATATATAGAAATATTGGCTTGTGTTTTGCTCACATTTTAGAGTATACTAAACACCATAAGGGCAGTAGAGCTTTATCTAGTTATCTTTATAGCATCTCACAATATAAGCGAAAGTTAACTCAGTCCCACATCCAGGTACTCCTTCTAAATAGTTTAGACATTTGATTCGATGGTAGCGTTCCATGGGTCTTATTCTTTTAAAAATAAAACAGTCCATTCTGGTTTTCCAGTTTAATCCCTTCAAAGTTTTCAGCAGGACCCGCCACTGACTGGCACCTCCTGCTTGGACTCCTTTAGAAAAAGGAATGTATCCAGATGTGTCTGGATGATTTGGGCTCCTCTTTATCTATAGGCTTTGATGGCCAGTTGATTTGGCCCTTTTTTAAAAAAAGCCCAAGGAGGCCTGCTTTGGTGAATGGAAACACTGACTTGACGGAAAAGCTACAAACCAAGCAGCTTTTTTGCCTTTCCGGGATGCTTGGGACTGCTCTGTGTTTGCAGAAAGTACTAAAAATTCAGCTCCTGCCTTCACTGCCTGCTTGCTTTTACTACAGGAGACACCCACCCTTACCCCTGGGACGGCTGCTCAGAAACTGGCTTTCCCCTGTGTACGAACTTGCCTTAAATATGCTTTTTCTTTTTTAACTTATATTGGCCAATGTAGAAAAACCACTCTTCACCCGGGATGCATCCCAGTTGAAGGGAACATTCCTCAGCACCACCCTAAAAAAGAGCAACATGGGTTTTGGATTCACCATCATTGGTGGAGATGAGCCTGATGAGTTTCTGCAGGTGAAAAGTGTGATTCCGGATGGGCCTGCCGCGCAGGATGGGAAAATGGAAACGGGTAAGGTCATTATGCTTTAGAAATTTGTTTTACAACAGCTTCCCTTTCTTCTACCCACCCCGCCCTCACCACCACCAAGGCAAATAGGGAGGAGCTTCTTTCTGTGATTTTTATTTGAAGGCCAAAGATCACTTCACTTTAGGGAAACCAGAAATTATGTTTCTCCTAAGTTTAGGAGTATCAAATTGAAGTATTTTGGAAATAGATCTAAATATCATTCTTGTCTCATTTTTCAGACTGCCCCTTCTATTTGCTGGATTTAGTGGGCTCTTGAGATTGACACTTTTCTAATTTATTTTTAGAGTTCTGTCTTAGAGATGTGATTAACATTTCATACTATTCTACTTGATACTCAACCATTGATATTTTAAAATCTGCATTAATCTTGTGATAGTCTCAATGCTGAATTGCCCAGGTTAGATATTTAAATATGCATGCTCATCTCAAAGAAAAAAAATTTGGATGGTATTCATCTATATATGTCCCCATCAATGTTTTAATATATAAGGTTGTTTTCTGCAGTTCTTACAAATCAATTTTCACATGCAGTTACTTGGATGTCTATCAAATTATAATCAAAATTCATTTAACATGGAGATGTGGAGGCAAATTGTTAAAGGCACAAATGCATAAAATATGAAAGGTCCACAGGGGTAAAGAAAAAAGTGATGAACTAAGTCTGGTTTTTCAGTTTGATTTTAAATTCTCCTTCCTGGCCCATGTCCTTGGATTAATCCCATAACTTACAAATGCTAGTTTCCTTACCTGGGGTTGGGGGGGGAAGAAATTCGAACTTGTGTCTTTAAAATACTGATTCAAGAATTTTGTAGTGTTGTTTTTGAAATACATTAGAAAGTATTACAAAGTATAATAACTGTATCTCCAAAGAACTGTATCACCATTACACATTTTTACAGTGTTGATTTAATTTGTGATATCAACTTGCCGACATTAATGGGTCTTAGTAGATATACAAATTAGAGAATTACTTTTGAGGAAACATTATCACATCTATGTGGTCTGTATATTTGTGAATTGTTATATCACCATTTAGTAAGTGGTTCCTCAAGAAATAACTGCTTTCCAAGGTCACCTAATGAATATATTTGTAATTCCCTTTCACTGGTGAGTAATAATCCATCTAATAGCTGTTACATCTCCTTAAAGTTGAGTGAAGTTTTAAAACTAACCCACCACATTTTTCAAACGCTATTGTTGTAAAAATCATTTGTACGTAATTTTCTGTAAGTGTTAAGTTAGGGGCGCATATGTGGCCGGACCTGAGAACGACAGTGATGGATAGGACAGGGCCCAGCTCTCGAGGAGTTTATGTCTAGGAAGGGCCTCCGATAAATAAACAAGTAGTTGTAACACAATATGAGTAGGATGAATCTGTAATAACCCTGATGTTGACACAAAATCAAGACAGTGGGAGGAGGAAGCAACAGAAATGTTTAAAAAGAAAAGTGTGTTCCTAACCATGTAATCTTATTGGGCTTTTATAGAAGTGATAATTTCTCTCATTGGAAAACGATACCATAAAACTTTGAAATCTGCTTATAAAATATTCGGGAAATTTAAATGTTTATTTTTAATTGTGAGGTAATTTAAAATAAAATGTAAACAACATTTCTTTGATATTCCATAAGTAGCGATAGGAATGGCTGCTCAGTTCACTGAGCTAATATTTCACGAATATCCATACATCCCAGGCATTCTGCTAATTATTAGGGATGCAAAAGTGAAGAAACAAATGTTTTTATCATTAAGACGCTTACACTGTAGAAATAATGAGTGGCATGTTAATGAATATTTACATCAGTGCAATCATAAAAATATGTGCAAAGTCCAGAAATAGGCCAGAGGAATGGGAGATTGAATCCATTAGGAGATGCTTAGGGAGATCCTCCTACAGAAGATGATACCTGACAGAGTTTTGAATGATGAATAGGTGTTAGCTAGGTGGACAAAGAAGGGAAGCCACAGGAAGAGGAAACAACATATGCAAAGGCACGGTGGTGGGGAATACCTAGATAAAGATTTATATGCCATCGCAGCCTATGGCAATCTTCCAACTTCATTAGGTATTTATGTGAACTACCAAATAAAGTGATAATCATAACTGGTAAAGATGAACTGTTATGACGTGTAGGAAACATCAAAGAATAGTCTGTAGTCATATATCCTCAACTAAAAAACATAGATTTCATAAATGCATGAATACTTACATATAAAATCTCTCTCATGTAAATTTCTCATATAAACTTTCGACCAATTAGGCATAGTGCTTTACTCTATGGCTGATGTTTTCTTGATTTGTCTGTGCCGAGAACCTGAAACAGTGCAGGGCAAAGAGCAAGTGCTCAATAACTATTTGTTGGATGGATGGATGGATGGATGAATGGATGGATGGATAGATGGATGGATGGACGGACGGACGGACGGACAGATGGATGGATAGAGTGTTGGATACACTTAGAAATTAAGAAGTGAAATTTGAATTGGCTGAATTCCACTTTTCCAGCATAGCCTGGCCAATGCTAATTGTCCAAATAGTTTACCATCAAAGCAAAAACAAACCAGCATTGCAGTTTCTGGAGGAAATTAAAAAGACAAAAACATGTTAGGGACAAAATTAATTTCCTTTTTTGTAACGACTTCATCTATAAATGAACCTCAGGTTTTTGTTTTTTTTTTAAATGGACACTACAGATAGAATGATAAATCATTAATATTTATGAGGTGTGTGGTCTCTCAGGGTTGTGGGATCAGCCAGAGTCAGGCTCCAAGATGAGAAGGGAGTCTGCTGGAGATTCTCTCTCTCTCTCCCTCAGCCCCTCCCACCTCTCGTGTTCTCTCTGTCTCTCTCTCTCGCTCTCTCTCAAATAAATAACTAAATCTTAAAAATGATAAGTGGTCTCATTTGACATTGAAATAAGCATGAAAATACTTGAATCAATTTTTTTTTAATCTCTAGGTTATTTCTAATTTAAGCAAAGAAATGTCAGTAGTTTGTGTGGACACAGAGAAAGATCCATTCTACTGAAAAGTTGACCAAGGGTCCTACACAATAAAAACAAGGGTAGGATGGGAATTCTTTCTTTCTTTGTCAGCACTGATTCATGGGAAAGAGTAGAGACCAGGGGAAAATGAGGACATACTGTGCCCCTACCTGCTTTTTGGAAACTAATTGAGCCAATCCCCAATGGTCCTATAATGTTCTAGAAGAAGCTTTTTTAGAAGAAATTACCATAGTGCTCAGAAACCAACGGGCTTCTGATTGTTAAGTATTCTACACATCCTGGCAATCATTTGTAGGCACCAGAGATCCTGGCCATATTCTTTTTTTTTTTTTTTTCTCACAGAGAGAGAGAGAGAGATCACAAGTAGGCAGAGAGGCAGGCAGAGAGAGAGGGGGGAAGCAGGCTCCCTGCTGAGCAGAGAGCCCCATGCGGGGCTCGATCCCAAGACCCTGAGATCATGACCTGAGCCGAAGGCAGAGGCTTAACCCACTGAGCCACCCAGGTGCCCCTGGTCATATTCTTTGAACTATTTTTAAAATCAAGATTGATATACTAAGGCTTACATAGAAACTACAAAGTCTGAGAGTTATTTATCTAACATCCTTCAGGTAAAAAGCTTCTCTTGTTACATGATGTTTTCCTGTTTTTCCCCAGGCTAATTTTTGAATCGAGGCTTGAGGTTTTCAACAAATGTAAGAGCGAGGAAAGCTGGCCTATCTGTGAAGTTCTTCTGTAGATAGGGGTTGAATTATGAGGTCACTCACAACCTATTAGATTTTATTTGCCCTCTTCTAAAACGTATCCACGTTATTAGTAAATGGCAAGAGACTGGGAGACTAGCATCCTGACATTCTCTGGCTCCCGGCATTTCTCCATTTCAGCAGATCACTGTTACTGCCCTTTTGCTGGTTGCTAACTCGTTCTTTGTGTTTCTGGAAGTAGAGGCATAAGATTAATTTTCTCAGAATCACCTGGGGAGCTTTTAAAAATGCAGGTTCCTGTGTCCCTGCACCTACTGATATCCAATTTCTAGAAGTGGTTTTGGGCATGTGCATTTATACACTTCTAAAAATTGTCAAATCAACACATGCATGTGAAAAAAAAATCATATGAAAATATTTGTAATGCATAAAATATCTTCTGTCCTGCTCCTTTTCCCCCCTCCAGGCCCCTGTCCCAGAGGCACTCAGTCAGTTTGTATTCTTAGAGATGATAAATACCTTCACACCTCCAATTAATGTGTTTGTACTGTTGTCTTGATTTAACAGATTTAGACATGACCTATATTTACTTCCTCTTAGAAAGAAATGAAGAATTAGCTCTCTTGTCTCCCATCTGCCTTCCCACATTTTCCCAATAGAATTGTACAGCTAATTTCAGTAATATTTGTATAGTTTTTGCATTAACATGGCTTTATATATTTGTTCACTGACCCCAGTGATATACCATTCATACCTTTTTCCCCCTTAAATAGCTTTGTGGGGTTTCACTTTGTCTTTCTCTCTGTCTTGCAGTATCTTTCTTAAAATAATTATTTGTTTTTCCTCCCAAAGCGTATTAGGTCCTCTAGTGGGTCTTCTTTTTTCTAAACATCTTTTGTCCTCCTGTTTCTGTCTGAGGCTAAGTGTTCCTCTGACCCTTAGAGATATTTCATCATGTCTCTCCCTAGCAGAGTCCACCATTATGCACATCCCATCTCTTTCTCTCTCTCTCTCTTTTTTTTTTTTTAAGATTTTTATTTTCTTATTTGTTAGAGAGAGACAGCGAGAAAAGGAATACAAGCAGAGGAAGTAGAAGAGGGAGAGGCAGGCATCCTGTTGAGTAGGGAGCCCCATGCGGGGCTCGATCCCCCCCCTGAGATCATGACCTGAGGTGAAGGCAGGCACTTAACTGACTGAGCCACCCAGGTGCCCCCTCCACACCTCTTTTTTGCGGGCGCTCATTTTACTGAAGTGCAGCCCTTGCATGTGTTATGAT